TATGACACATTCAACTGTATGTGTTTGTGTGTCCTTTTCCGTTTGATGCTGTTTCCACTGTGTTCTCTTCTAGGATTCCCTCTTTTTTTTTTTTGGTACCAGGGATCTAACTTGAGACCTTGTGCTTGTAAGGCAGGAGGTGGAACCACTGAGCTGAATCTCTGGCCCTAGGATTCCTTCTTGAAAGTGAAAAGCCCTACAGTTCTTTCATATCGGAGACATTCTTATTACCATTTTTATATAAATCTAATAGATACATATACTACATCAGTTATATTTACACTGGAAATGGATAATAAACAAAAAATGACCAAAATGCCCCCCAAAGCAACTAAACAATATATCCATAGCAAGGAGGCTTTTCCTTTTATCATATTAGAATTATTTCTCAGTTTTTTGAAGATTTCCATCTACTTTACATTGTACCAATGTTGGTACATACAAAGACATAACTCAGTAAATTTTGTTGAATAGAATTAACATGTAGTATTCACTTTTTCCTAGAATAAGCCACCTTTTCCATCTTCAGACAGCTGATTCCTCTGGACATTCATTCAAGAATCTTTTTGCAATATAACATGGGTAGAAATGTGAGCAGAAGACAACCAATCTGCTCTTGTGGAGCTTATGTTCTAGTGAGTAAATAATAAACAATAAACAACAACGATAAGTAAATTATATGGCATATTAAGCTATGGTTTGTGCTTTGGAGAAAACGAACAGGTAATATAGAATACAGGCATGCGATAGCATGATTTCACAGTGCTTGGTCATTTTCACAAATAACTGGAGGATCTTTTCATGATCTAGCTCCCCTGCTCAAATTGTTCATCATATGTTTCCACCTCAAAGTCCTCTTTGACATCCAGCACCTGTTTTTCTGCCCAATGTCAAACGTTCCACTGTTTCTTGTGTGCTGTTCTTCCACCTCTCACACCTCTATGCATTCTTGTCCCTTTTCCAGTCCTGATCAAATATCTTTCCATGTGCTTCAATGGAGCATATGTCCTCCCATTTAGAGATACTTATTCCTCTAACTGGCATTTTAAAAACCCTTTTGACCTATATCATGAGCATCTTATAATAGCTATATGTCCTCTGAAGAATTTTGCCTTTTGGAAATACCCTCCAAGTTCACCTTTCTAAATCCTCCTTGCATGCTGCAATATATTCTGGAAGAGGGTGCCAATTTCTATTAATACTACTCGGGTCATGATTTGCTATTACTAGAGTAACCTGTTTTTACATGGTTTTTAAAACTATGTTGAATTTAAATATCAAACGTTAGATTCAATTTCATATGTACAAATAGATAGCAGCCTATCAGTTTTTCTTTTTTAATTTCCTTAAGAAAGACACTTGGATTTGAATTAACAGGAAAGGGTTCAAAATCTGAAGCCTAGAAAAGTGCTGGTGTCATTCCTCTAAGGATATTTGTATTATCTAAAGCTATTTATATTCAAAAATTTTTTATCGTGAGTTTTATGGGAGTGAGATAAAATCGTTACAGTTATAAAGTAGGAGTATTCCAAAGGTTAGGAGAGGGATTCTTTTTAGTGAGATGCAAAAGGAAAGAAACTAGCATCAGCTGAGGATCTACAATACACTATATAACCGGGAAGTATGGTTCAAGAGTTTGCAGGCTCAGTCATTCCTGGATTTTTCCTTAGAACTTCACTAATAATTATTCGCTGAAACCCCTGCAATATCAAGGAAACTGCAAATATCCTCAGCAATTGTTTTTGTTTTTGTTTTTGAGGGGTGGGGGAGGTCGGGAGGTTTGCAAGTAGCCAATCAGAGAGCATTATTCAGTTCTCCTTGCTGCTGATTGGCTGCTGTCCTGTCACCCATCTCAGGTAGAGGCACCAGCATTCCTGCATCATAACAGGTTGTGGTTTTGTTTTACTTAAACCCCTAAGATCCCTAAGATGCCACCAAAATGCCTTCCACCTTCTAAGACTTTATTAATATAGTATTTTATTAAATTAAATTACATAACTGCAGGAGACCTAGCATAGTTAGGGTTTAAACTATAAAAATAGGCATTTATAGGCATTTTTCTGACCATATCTGAAATTGGAGGTTTTTCACAATTCGTAGGTGCTCAAGGAACATAACACCCACGAATTTCGGGGATCCACTGTATATAAAGCCCTGTAATTATCCTCAAAACAAGATAAAAGGCTAAACCCTGATATTCCCATTAACAAATAATGCAACCGAGATTGAAAAAGTAAGTAACTTGCTCCTGGTCACATAGCCATAGGTTGGCAAAGCTGGGACTCAAACCTGCCTGTTTGGCTCTATGACCATAGGCTATCTTTCCAGTAGTTATGACATAATAGTACTCAAACAAGGCCTATCTCAAACAGTAGTTATGATACAAAGCTGAACTATAAAGTCTGACTAATCAAAGAATGTTCGGTCACATTCAATTTGTAAGGAACCCAAGGATGGTAAATTGAAGAATAATTAAGAAAAATCAATGCATGATTTGTGACATTTGTAAAAAAGAAAGAGAACAGGGGCCAAAACCCCTTCCTTCCTCTTCCTCACCCCCAAAAGTACGTGTTTTGTTCTCTTACCTTGCCAAACTATATTTAAAACGTACTTTCAGACAACTTTAGGAAACATAACAAGTATTGTCAACAACATATTTTAGAAAGCATGACAAGTACACCAAGTATCGAAGTTAACATGATGGTGAAAATTCAAGACTGGTATGTGAATTATAATTCTAGCACAGTGTAGTGAGGAGAGTCTCTTCACCCCTTTGCCAAACTTGCAATTATCAAGCTGTTTCCAGAGCCAGCTTGCTTGTCAATTTGTGCCAGACCCTGATGGGTGCCCATGGTCATGACCTATCTCTACACAGACAATCACCTCTGCTCTGGGAAGAACTGATACATAACCACAACTGACACCCTCAGTTTAAGCCAGACATAGTGAAATGTCACATCCCGATCAGAAGACACCCAAGACCGTGTAAAAGAGGGTGAAAAACTTGGCATTCCCCAAAAGTAATTACAACTACAAAATACAGCTTACATTTTACTGAGGATCTGTCATTTAGTATCAGTGCAGTGGCCACATGATTTATTATCTGAAGCAGGACTCTTATGAGGAAGGTATTATTAATAAATACTCTGAGATAACAGGCAGGTGCTATAGTTACACCGGCAAGTGGAGAATTTATATGACACTATCAACTATTATCATCTTTGTAAATGAGAAGATAAATGTCTATTAACAATGTGTTGGGAGCTCTGCATGTTTGTATCAGCTAGGCATTGTCTGGATGATAGGGGTCCATAATTAAATAAAACTCTAGAAATGCTAGCACACAAGCAAAAATACACTTCCTACTTTGTCCTTTGTCCTAAGAATATGAACTCTGAAACAAAGTGTAAACAACATACGGACACTGAAGGCTTTCACTTGCCTGCATTTTCATAGTATTTTGTTCACAATTACCTGTAGGTGCTAGCACTTAACAAGATCTGTGGCCATTTGCCTTTTTCTGTGTCTAACTATGAGTGATTCAAGAACAAAGATCATATCTGACTCATCCTTTTGATTCCAGTACTTAGCACAGAACTGTACAATATGACAAATATACCTAAGGTGAATGAAAAGGGAAGGGAGAGTATTCATCCTGAACTTTATCACATTGGCTACCATTGACTTAAAGAAATGCACTTCTGTTTTGATTTTAGGGGTGGGAAGGAGCACAACTGATTGATTTTCAGAAAGAATGTCCTATGAAAATCCAAGAGTGCTTCTAATCGTCACTTCTGCTTTCCCATACAGATGTATAGACATTTTCAAGTGTGTTCCAACTTTAACAACTGGGTTAAAACAGCTTTGACTTTGCCAGTTGCTTGTCCAATCTTTGCTAGGTCTTTCTGGACATCTCAGCTTTGCTCTACAGATGGGCTACTAGTTTACCAGGCTATTTTTATGTCTGCTAAGCAGAAATGATTGCAGCATTTCCTAAGATGACTGGAATGGTAAATATTCTTTTTGAACTCACTCTGCCTGCCATACCTTTCTTTCCCTTCAGCCACCATGGAATCAGAGATCTAAATAAAGAGCTTACGTGTGTTTTCAAACAGCCAAATTCACCTCTGTTTATTTTGCCTCCAGGAATATTCTTTGGCTAGAAGCTCTGAAGCTTCATTTACAGATAGCTAGCTCAGTTAAGTCTGGAGACAACATAGTTCCAAGATGGCCTTTGGGCAGAATTCAAACAGCTGCTTCAAATTCTTTTCAGAATCAGATAGGGCATAAATACATATATTTTTCATAGCAGCTATGGAAGAGATGTGCCATCATATCTTTTTTGGAATGAGGGGTGATATAAATAAATAGATAACTATGTACAGTTCCATCTCAGATATTTGTTTACAAGGAAAAGTTGGATCCCTCCAATCCATCTACTTTGTTTGCCACCAGAGTTATTTTCCTAACATAAGAAACTGAGCCTATCACTCCTCTCCCTTAAATCTTTCAAGTTCCTCATCATCCACAAGGCTACATTCTTACCTCTTACAAAGCCTGGGTTTCTACATAACATTCAAGAGTCAGCTGCCACCACTCATTACATGGGTCCTTCCATTCCTGCACAGCATTACTAGCTAAAGTGATCCCGATTCCCTATCCCTCCACACTTTACAATGTGATTATGCAGCGTCTACCTCGTTTCCAGCTCTGTCAATCTGCACTGGCCTAGGGACTTGCTTTAACTATAGAATGTGATGTTGTAGTGGCTCTATAACTGGTCTTTAAGTGACTCTATAGACTTTTGTTCTCTCTTACAACCCACCTCTGCCATGAAAGTAAGTCCAGGCTGGTTTGGTAGAGGATGAGAGTTCACCATCTCAGAGATAAAGCAATCCAGCCCAGGCTATCTTAGACCAATGGGCTCCCAGCTGCAGGCCAACTGATCACAGATTCACAAGTGAATCCACCCTACATCCTCAGAGTGCAGCCAGACCAGCAAGATCACCCAGCCTAGCCCTAGACTCATGGGAAATAATGAGCAGTTGTTGGTAAGACACTGGTTTGGGGATATTTTGGTTAACAACTTTTTGTTCCAAAAGATATCTGATACACATACCAAACTATTTATACTTCCTGAACACAATGCTGTTTCACTCTTTCTAAAGATGGTACTTTCTCTCCCTGGGATGAATCTCATTCGGTCCATACTCATTAATACATCGCCCACATTCCTCTCTGTCTCTCTCTCTGTCTGTCTGTCTGTCTGTCTCTCTCTCTCTCTCTCTCTGTCTCTCTCTCCACAATTACTTGCTATTCTGCCCTTTGCATATATCTACATTATTCTGGTATGAATCAAAAATGTTGCTCCTATGTTTGCTCCCCCAAAGTCATCTATGCTCAGAGGTGGGGTTTTTGGAAGATGATTGTGTTACACCCAGTGAGAGAGAACCAACCAGAGACCGATATTAAATCCACACAGGAGTTTATTACCAGCCGGGACCCGAGCTGAGCATTGGACTCAAGCCTCCACTGGGGTTAGATTAACATGTTTTATACACCTTTGAGGCCAGCAGTTTCTAGGCCCCCCTATGGGATAGAACTAGTAAAGCAAGCAAAAGGTACAGAAGCTGACCGTCCCAGTCCCGCTGTTAGAACATTTGTAAAACAATAGTTGATTAATTGTTGTTTCTAGGAGACTCTAAGAGGAGGAGGTTTCTAAGCTTCCTCCTTTTGAGTCCATCTAAAGGGCAGGCAGGTGGGTCAAGCAGCAATATGGAGTCTGTCTTGTTAACTAGGGTCCTTCAGATTGGATAATGGGGTAGTAATTTCAACTGTGAACTAATCTATTGATGAGTTTATAGCTAAATGCATTGTTACAAGATGGGCTTAGTAGGAGGTAATAGGTCACAGGAGGTGTAACCTGGACTGGTATATTGTTCCGTTCCTGTTCTTCTCTTTCTGGCTTTTTCACTACCCTCTGTTTCCTGACTGTTGTGAGGTGAGCAACTTTCCTCTGTCATGATCTTCCATCATGATCTTTCTGCCTTAGATTCAGTCAACCATGGACTGAATCCCATAGAACTATGAGTTGAAATAAATCTTTTCTCTTCGAAGTTGTATACGTGAGGTATTTTGTCCCAGGAATGGAAAGGTAACTAATACATACATTGTAGTAGCTGTCAGATTATATCAAAATTTTACATTTTCCTTGCTTCCACTGGACTACAAGCTCCTAGGAAAGTGAGACATGCCATTTATTTTGCAGTAGCCAATGACAAAGACAGGTGCTCTGCACATTTTTGTTGCTTGACTATACTAATTTTCTATTCACCATAAACCCTCTATTAAAGAAATAAACTAAGGTCATCATAAGGATTCAATGACCTTATCCTAAATCACCTAAATTATCAGATTTTTCATTTAGAAACCAAAAGGTGTATTCTTACTGGAAATTATACATTTAAGAAGGAGGCTATGAAATGTAAAAGATTCAAGTAATTCTGCCTTGGTAAAAGTATTTGATTCCTGTATACATATCCTCTCAAAGAACAAATTTTCTGACCAGGATGGATGATTTAACAAATTTGTGAAGTGGATTAAATTTGTTTTATTATTACAATAGGTTCTCTACTTTTCTATGGCAACCATGTTTATCAGGTTCCTTTAGGCATGTGGAGTAAGGACTCCATCCATAGAGCCCAAGTGATGGTGGACATTGTAAGGATACTAAGACTCAGGCTGATAGGAACTTACTTGTGTAAATCTGAGGACAGGAGCCACAGGACAGCTGTGTGATAGACAAGGGAACTGAAGAGATGAAAATTCATGTAATTTACACTATCAACCAGGGGTCCATGTGTTCTGGCATTAATTCAGCTCCCTGCATCTACCTTAGTGCTATCTACCATCTCTTACTGTCTTGTTCCCTGGCCCATGGTCTCTGTTTACACTTTAATTAAATTTCTCAGGACCTTGGCCGCACATTTTTCATGACCTCTCTCAAGGTGACCAATGAAGTTCAATTCTACTCATACTTCAGACTACTATGTTCAAGTTTCTAAATTCAATCTCAGAAAGAAAGAATCTGACACCACTTTTTCACATTTGCATGAGACTTTCCGCAATGCCCTGATAGTCTATGGACTGTCCCTGAGACTGAGTATCTTGACCCTTTGAAAGGGAATGCTGTCAGCATAAGGCAGCATTTTTCTCAGAGGCCTAAAACACCATTAGCTTAGATTTTGTTTCAAAGAGAAGAGCTATAACAAAATTTTAGAATTGAGCAGAAGAGCTCAATTGAGAAGAATTGAGCAGAAAGCACAAAATTCTCATATACTTCCTGCCACGCCCCCATCCCCAGAGCTTCCCCACTACCAACTTCCTGCACCATAGTGCAACATCTGTTACAAACAAGCAATCGATATTGATACATCATTATTATTCCAAATCCATAATTTATACTAAATTTCATTCTTGACTTGTACATTCTATGAGTTATGTAAAAATATGACATGCATCTACTATTATAGTATGAAAATGATGTTGCATTGCCCTAAAAAATCTATGCTCCATCTTTTCATCTCTCCCTCCCCTCAACCGTCAGCAACCACTGCTCTTTTTGCCATCTTCATGGTTCTTTTTTTTAAATAGTGAAGTAATCAATATGTAGCTGAAATCACCAATATGTAGCTTTCTCAGATGAATTTGTTTTACTTAGTGGCCAGCTTGTGAGCTTCTTCCTTATCTTATCATGGCTTGATATGTCATTGCTTTTTAGCACTGAATAATATTGTGTGGATGTACCACAGTTTATTTCTTCTTTCACCTACTATAAGAAATCTTAATTGCTTCCAATTTTTGACAATTACAATATAACTGTTAAGAATCCACAGGTGAAGACATTTGTGTGGCCATAAGGTTTCAACTCATTCCAGGAAATACTAAGGAGGAATATCTGATAAGTGTATTTTTAGTTCTGTAAGAAACTATCAAATTGTCTTTCAATTGGTTGATGTCCAAACTTTCTGCTCCCAAATATTAATGCTCATTTTCTCAGAAGGATAGAATTGGCAAACACAAAAAATGTCTCAGTTGTGCTCTTTCTGGTAAGTCCTGGAAAATCTTCTCCTATTGCATGTCTTACCTCTTTCTCTGTTCTTCAAAATTATATTCCAATAGCCATATGCTGCCCACTATCCATCTACTACATTAAATTGTGACTCTAGAAAATAAATGAGGCTACAGGCTTGAACCACTGACATCGCTTCATACCTCCTAGCTGCAAAATTACTTGCCTCTCCATGATATCCTTTCATTTTGTCTCAAGCACACATACAAAGACACATACACACGTGCACATGTGCACACAATAAGTGTTCTCTCTCCTCCAACCAAATATAATCCATCTATATGAGTTTTGAACTTCAATCCCACTCACATACTTTTCCACAGTTTTTCTTTTATGTCCTCCACAATTTCTTCTTCACACTGTTTTTTTCAGCAGGTAAATGAGTTTGCTTCATTCACATCTGAAAATTAGAAACAAAAGACCTCTAATTACCTTGCCCCAGCCCTCTTTTCTTTATAACTTCTTTCCCCAAAACACTGGGTGAATTCTGCTAACTCAATTTGTTCCCTTGTCATTCAGTCTTCTGCCTACTAACTTTTGCTCCCTACTACTCTGAATCTATAATCACTAAGGTCAGCAGTTATCCACAAATTGCATAATCCAGTGAGTACATTTTAACCTTGCTCCAGTGTCATTCCAGTTGTTTCCAGTGCCCAGTTTTGACTTCTTTCCCAATTTCTATCCACCTCTCCCCTTTGGTCTCATCCACTGTCTTGGTTCTCCTGGCTCCCTTAGCATCTGTTACTGACACATCTGTTACTGACTCTTCTCTTGTCCATCCTTCTCAAGATCTCAGGAAGGCTGCTTAGACCTAGCTCCTGTAGTTGACACTCCAGCCTATCATACTGTAGCCCTACTGATGAGTGGTAAGACAACTCAACTCTCTATCATCCACCATGATAGACCAACTCCTATGTACATAATATAACAAAAGCTCACATACTTAGATCTCCAGCCCTCTCTCAAAAGTGCCTGTCAGGATACCCCACAAGTATGTCAAACCTGACATGTCCAACACTGATCTCCTTACCTTAGTTCATCTTGCTTGCTCCTTCTCCAATATTCTCTTTCTTCATGAACGAATTTCCATCATTCAAGCCAGTTATATTTTTTCTTCAATAATTTTAGCACTATTGCAATAGTGCCCTACTGTTCTCTCTACACGTAATTCTTCTTGTCATCTCATAATGCACTACCAGAATTTTATGCTAACAAATTTCTGATTGTCACCCCCCTCTTCAGAAATCTTTAATAGCACCTTACTACCTATGGAATAAAGTATAAGCTGCTTAGAGACCAAGCCAATCTCCATCATCTTGCTCTTTGACTCTACAGCTTAACTTCTTATCACAGTGACTATCATACTTTGTGCTCCAGAAATATTTAAATATATTTATATCTATATCTGCTTTAAAATACATTTAGGATTTAGGATTTTGAATGCTGTATTATTCAGCATCCAGTTTAAGACAAAAGACAAAAAAATGAGAACCACACCAGTTTGGCTAACAGAAGGAATTTAATGTAAATAATCAGATGAGCAAACCCTCGGAGTCTAAAACTGAGTAACAGGAAATAACTGTGGTAAAACAAAGACAGTAGCTGAAGAAGGCATCTGCCATACCGGTGGCTGTGAGAATAAAGAAAAAGGTGGGGTTATGAGAACCTGAAATCTTAAGAAGACTCTGCAGTGTTGGGACCCAGAAATCTTAGAAGGAAGTGGAGTCCTCCTGGTACATTAATAGCTCAGAAGTGAGACTCCACTAAGATAAGTTCCAGCTCCCTGAAGAGATATGAGCAGTTACAAGGTCTGCTCTTGGAATATGGAAGAAACTTAAAGCTAGAATCAACCCCCCCTCACAGGTGAATAACCATTCCTGGGGAGATAGGAATAGGGAGCAAAATAGACAGGAACAAATC